CCTATTCCTGACGTTGGCGGCGCTGTTGCAAATTAGGCCAAATAAAATGGTGTATGCTAAGGAAAAATCCATATGTTGTGGTTGAGATGTTTCTTGTATACTATGTGGTGTTGTGAGGGTCCAGTGGCTATTCCAGGAGCCTCGGAGTTTCAGCCATGTGTATCCCGTACCTAAGATTACGTAGTCAATCATTTATTTAATGTATTTATAGGCCGAATTACCTTGGTTAGATTTTTTGGCTGCTTCCGGTTGGGGGAGCACCCCTTTCGCCACTCCAGTAATTCATAAGAATCACTAGCACCAACTGAAAAAAGATGATACAAATACCATTCATTTTAGCCAGGCCTATTATTCTACCAGTATTTTGTTATAATGCCACGGAAATGTTTCGTAGGATGAACTGGAATTATTACTTGCAGTGGCGTATCTAGAAGTCTTAAAATGGGGGAGTTGATGGGTGGGGGGATGGGGTGCGAAGGTAAAGTGGAGAGCCTGATGATCAGTTGAAGAGCGCTAATTCGCAAAATAAGGTGATTTTAGGTGATTCCCCCAAAATCTAATTTCTGTCTCTTATACACATCTAGATGTGTATAAGGGGGAGGGCGCACACCACCTAGATAGGCCACTGATTACTTGATAAATTGATTTACTTCACATTCTGTAATTACTCATCCTTTTCGACCTAAACATCAAGAACTTAATGATCGCTACAATTCCTAGCATTTCGGATATCCCTTGCGTGTCACGCACTTGAGTACCATAAATTCCGGTAACCATAATTACGAATACTTATTTTTATACTTTTGGAATAATATTGGGTTGTTATATACACAGACGTATGTTTTGAATATAATATGCCTCATGGAACTACTATAGAAGACCTGAAATGTGGTTTTAACTGATAATGGAGAATGGAAACCAATGGAGTGCTGGCAAGAACAGAAGTCAAATAATGCAAGGGCGTCGGAAGCGGTCCGGTTTTGGCCGGACCAATAGTTTACAACTCAATACCGTATCGTTTGTAAGCCAAATTCTAATTTCTCTGACGCAATCAAACATAACTTGCACATAGGCCTATATAAACAAAATATATAAAAATAAATAAATTAATAAATAAAAAATGGAACAATTTGAAATAATTTCATTTTTTACTGTATAATGAAGTACTGTACAGTAGTTACAATTACAGTAGTACTGTATAATTAAGTATTTCCATAATTATATGAAAAATACCTATAAAAAAGATTCATAGCTCTGATGATGTTAACGGATATATATATATATATATATATATATATATATATATACTGTATATCAAGGTAGCCGTTAACACTGTTAATATATATATAAATCATCAAAGAAAGGTAAATACAGTGTTTGAATAAAGGACTTAATAAATACATCGTGTAGCATAGCTCTCAACGAATGTAGTCCTGTAATTATATGAATAAAGAAATTGTGTAATAAAATGCCTCTGGCGGGACTCGAACCTGCGTCCTCTCGCTGTCAAGGCGAGTGTCATAACCACTAGACCACGGAGGCTTCATGGTTGAACAGATTCAAATACCACCAGATACACTCTATTACACAATAGGTACGGCTAGAAACAAATAGGTGCATATAACATAAATCAAGGTAGCCGTTAACACTGTTAAATCATATATAAATCATCAAAGAAAGGTAAATACAGTGTTTGAATAAAGGACTTAATAAATGTATTGTATCTGGTGGTATGAGTGTATCTGGTGGTATTTGAATCTGTTCAACCATGAATTTACAGGACTACATTCGTTGAGAGCTATGCTACACGATGTATTTAGTTCAGTTTCTTTTACACAAGCTCAGCGTATTTCTAATGTTCAGAATAAGTTTATTAGGTTTCTTAGTCATACTTGTCCCAATTATAATGTCTCTCTTATGTCTCTTGAAAATCGTAGAATTATTTTTGACATGGTTTTTTATATAAGTCTTTAAATTCCATTTATGATTGTCCTCTTGTTTCTATGTTCAGTTTAAACATCCCGACTCGTACCCGAAGTAAGTGTTTACTTCATGTTCCTTACGGTCGTGTTGATTGCACAAAACGGGGTATTTTTCAACGTTTACCGAACGAATTTAATAGACTACTTGATACTTGTTTTAATATTGATATTTTTTATGATAGTCTTAATATTTTTAAAAGCAAAGTAGTTAAAATTGTGTAAGTGTATTTGAGTTTATTTCAGTTTTGAAGTTTATAATATATATTTATATATGTTTTAGTTGAACCTGTTAGTGGCGGTTTTCATCGCTGTTGGTTTTATACTGAATAAAATAAAAAAATAAAATAAAAATTTATTGATTATATAATTTGAAAATAAACTCTGCGTCTTTAATATACAATTTATGTTTCGTTTAATTAAATTAAATTAATTTTCGAAGGTCGTCAGGAAGGCAGTGTTAAATAAGGTATGGGCAAGGAAGCTAAAATGCTCTTTTATAGCATTCAAGTTTTGGCTTAGGTTATAGTTTCAAGTTCAGATGACTAAAATGCTAAATTAATTCTAGTAAAACATTTCACTTGTCTATTCAGGCCCCGAAAGCAAAAATTTTCCTAGGTCTAGATTAAGTTTTTTTTTTTGTGTTAAGAATTAATATTATTTTATTATTTAAAAGCGTTACATGTTAAAAGCTTTGCTTCTAATGTAATTCATTACATCGCATTTTCATATTTTCATTTATTGTTGATACTTTAAATTTTCTATAATTATACATGTGAATATGAATGTGACTGTGATTCGAAATCAAACAATTAAGCATTTAATGTATATTAAAACGACTGTTTGTAATATTAAGTTTATCATCTGGTACGTTATATTACTACACTAAATTCAAGAATTTACTAAATAATTAAAACTGCTAAGAAATAATTCAGTGAATTTCCCCCAAAATCTAATTTTATTTATTTTTTTGTAAATCAAACACTGGGTCCCTTGCGATGCACAGGGCAGCTGATCATTGAGGGAGACACAGACCTATAAATAGGGCATGCGAAACATATGTTCTATAAGGGTGATTATGAATAATTCATGAATTTTTACCAAAGTACCGTACGTAAAAAAAATGGCTCAACTAGATTCCGATGGGCGCTTTATCGAGAGTAGGCCTACTGTCATCACACAGGTTAAGAATGCTATATCTAGAAAAATAATGACCAAATCACAATTAGTTTTTTTAAATAATATGAAAGACAGTGTATTGCGAAAATGATAGAAAAATAAATTGTTCAAAATTTCTTATCATTTCCATAATTACATGAAATGAGGTGCTTATTCCTCAATGAATAAAGTGCAAGAAACACGAACACATTATATAAAGTAATATGAATAACAATGACTATAAGTCTATTATATTTATACAAGTTGACGGATGTTCAAATACCTATAAAAAAGATTCTAGATTCAAGAACACTTTATTGTCCATTTTAAAGTAGGAATTTGTTTTTCCTTTGGTTAAAAGGATAAAATTACATGAATAATCACAAGACAACTTGACAAGGACGAGAAATAAGTTAAGATATTAATAAGTTAAAATAGTAAAGTAGTAAAAAGTCAAAATAAAAATCACTGGTCAAAACTGTTTGAAATTTACTATATGTACCTCAGAAACAGGCCAGCCCTGCTCAAATTGTATTAGAAAAAATATTTTTTTATTATTGATTATGAATTACCGGTCAGATTTTTAAAGGTATTAAGAGTGCAATTTCCAGGCACTAGGTTCATATTCTCAAAATTGTCGCACCTCAGCACCAACCACAGCATTTTGCTCTAAAATGATGACAGTATGCTAATTAAATAAAACATGTGTTATATATACACAGGGCACAGTTCTTATTCCTCCATGAATAAATAAATTGCAAGAAACACGAACATAATTACCGTATATTATATAATGCAATATGAATAACAAGGAATGTGCTTCTATATTAAACGAGTTGACAGATATTGTGAAATACATATAAAAAATGTGGTCTAAATTAAACATGTGTTATGAATACACGGGGTAGAATATGCTATGCATTATTTAGTAAACCTATTAAATGTCTTTTGAATTAAGCAAGGTGAATACGTTTGATTTTTAAATAACAGACTGCTGGTATATTATTTAGTGTTAGGCCTATTATCTAGTAAACTTTGGTTTATTAATGGCAGGAGGACCATGTATTGTATTCCCATCATATGGACAGATTTACCAGATGATAAATACGCAATAGAGCATTAAGAATCAGGGGAATCAACTTCGGGTGGAGGGTCAATATTAGAATAAGCTACTGTAGCTTACTGTAGTTCAACTCCCTACAACGGCTCCAGTCAGGGTCGTAGGACACATGCCAGCGAAAATCAGCAATTTTGATTACATACTTACTAACTGATAGATTTACTTACTAATCAATTAAACTGATCGATTTCCACTTTTTTCATTTAAAAAATCCCTACTATGACATGGCCCAGGCCGCCCAATATACATGCGTACAACCCGTAGATGAGCTATGGCACAGGTTCGAGACGAAAACGTGTCAATTTTTCGAGTATTTTTATCAACATACTGAGCAGAGGCCGGTGTGGTAAAACACCATTTAAAAAAATTATCATTTCTACTGTTAAAGCAATGTCTAACTACTATTGCTTGTACGTACGTTAATATTTCTGAAATCCCATGGTGACAAAGTGACAAATATAAATGATAAATCATGAATGGTTAATTGATATATTTAGTACAAGTATGAATGATTGACGTAAGTCATATTAATGCAATGGTGATTGTGTATATTTTAAATAAAAATAGCTTCCGACTCCCCTGTAATGTGACGTAAAAGAATGGAGATGAGCGATTGGTGACAACTGAAAGAAAGAAGAAAGGCGAATGACAACGAGGCAGCAGGGAGAGGGACAATCGTTAGAATTTTAAAGCAATTTAAAGATGTATTGTAACTTGCTAATGTCAAAAAATCATAAAAAATA